AAGGTATTTCTCTCAAGTGTTGAGGATCTGCAACTGTGCAGCCTTCTAACAACAGAAGGGAAAGGTCAGCTCTAAAGATGTCACACTTCACCCCACACCATGGATTTCTGTCTTTGGTGGTAAGGCCCGTTAAAGCATCGAGCTAACTCATCTAAAACTTCTCACAGAAAGTTTATATGCGACTAGCCACAAATTATCAGTCAGTCTTAATGTAGAACCTTGTGCGTAAATACATCGATCCATGTTGTTATACTCCATTAGCACAGCGAGGTGAAATTGTCAGAGAGAATCCCAGAGCAGTAGAAGTGGTATTTTATTTATTTATTTCAACACATAGATAATGGTACAAAGAGGCACCAAATACATATGCGCCACACAAATCTCATCCTATATGTGTGAGGGCTGTGATACTGCCCGGGTGCCCAAACCGAAGCAGGTAGTAGAGGTGGTAGCAGTATTAGTGGTAATAGAAAAGATTAGGCACCAAAGTTTCGATTGAATAAAATGTAAATTAGTAAAATAAGTCAGTCAGTCAGCTACAACGTAAGACCAGGCACATATATGCATTGGTCCAGGTTGCTATACCTCATTAACACAACAAGATGAACATCGAATTCATAACCACTTAAGTGGTTAATTCAGTGGTGGTAATATATAAAAGAAAGATTGCATATAAGGACATATTACAGGAAGAAAGAATTAGTTCGTAGAAAGAAAGATATGAAGTGGTTTTAGTCTCATAGCTTAAGGGAAGACAAAGAGTGTATACACCGACGCCATTGTGACCGATTCTAAGCCATGTCACCAAGAGTCTCCAGGCATTGGTTACGACAGTCACGCGGACCCCAACCAAGTAATCTGCATCTACTAACATGGCTCAGACTAGAAGTTAGTGACTTCAAGCACTGATGTCACGTTTTGGTTTGGCCGCCCCTAACTTTCTTTCAACCATCTCCAACACCGGTTAGCATTGCATAAGTGAATTGTGAGGAGTTCAGAAGCTTAGAATTTGGGGGAAGTCAAAATAAATGCACCTGCGTCATTACCAACGATTTTGAGCTATGTCATTTAAAGTCTCTAACCACTAGTTACAATAATAGAGCGGACCCGAATCAGGTAGTCTACACCTGTTAACATGGCTCAGTCATGTTGTCATTAAGTATGTGGAATGGTGCCATGTTTTGGTTTGCCAATCTTAGCTTTATTCCAGCCTACTGCCATACCAGAAAACACTTCTTGCCGAGGTAGGTGGTGTACGGATATAAGTGACATATCCAAACCACCTCATTTAATAAAAATCTACTTCCTGATCAATTCGCTTGTCATCTTTACCTAGTGTATCCTATTCCTAACCCAAGCATTGCTTACTTAGTGGTCCCAAAATGCGCGAGAAATGGTTCGAAGATACCTATGGCGGAATACTAGTAACCTAGTGATATCTGCTCTTAGTGATCATACTTCACACCACATAAAATAGAACGGACTATCTTTAACTACCTGCTTGGGTCATTATTTGTGAAAATTATATTTGAAATAATAAACAGCGATTGAAATTTAAATAATTCCAACGTCTCGTCCGGCTAACTTGGCTGGACTTCTTCAGGGTAATGATCAAAATCGAAATCATCAAAGAAATACGTAGCTTTTTAACAATCAAAACTATACTGTGTTAAACCAATCAAATTTTGATGTTGATTTTTGTAAAATGGGATATAATGAGTCAGGACTACAAATCATGTAAAAAAATTCAATTACACAACACCTAAGCTGATAATTACCATGTGCTCACTAGTGACTAGCTTCGTGAGAAAATTCTCGGAGTTCTGGTGAGAAACCGTGACCAGTGGAGCTAATCCGTGTCGGGTAGAAACATGTGTCTACCTCAGTACAATGGAAGATGGTCGCGCAATTTCGTGGATTGGTTGAGGTTAGACATTAACACCGTTAGATGCCGGCTCAGTGGTCTAGTTGGTTAAGCGCCTGACACGAGACTGATAGGTCCTGGGTTCGAACCTCGCGGAGTGCGGGACCGTGGATGCGCACTGCTGAGGAGTCCCATACTAGGACGAAACGGCTATCCAGGGCTTCCAGATTTTCCATGGTGGTCTAGCTTCAATTAACTCATGATTCCAATTAGGTACATGGAAATAATTAACTGAATAACAAATTGTATGTTTGTGAGTGAGTAGGTATGTATGTATGTGTGAGAATTAATTATTGATATTCGGTGTTAATATGTTATATATGAAGGAATAAATAAATAAAATTTCAAGTTCAAGGTTGAAAAACTGTTAATGTAGAAGAACAGTCTGAACCGAAAGGATGGTATTCAACTAGCAACCACCGGGCAAATTTTCTTTTGACAAGTAATTTGAACCTTCTCTTTATTCAACCTGTTTATTTCATGTGCATCGCTATTTTTGAGTAAATTCAATAAGTTTTTAGCAATACAATTATGTATTTGTTTGATTCTTAAATTTGGCGTGCACATCGATGATTCGGACAGTGTACAAGTGATTGTCTGATGAAATCCAGTCTATGAGAGCCTGTTCCGCTTTTGAACTTCTTGCCATACCTATGCCAATGAGGTCACGAGGGGTGGTAGTCGAAGTCCCCAGACACATGGAGAGCAAATCGTCCCGTTTCTCCGTATTGACTGTCCGAGGTCAAGTGAATGATCACACCTTGATATACGGCACACATTGACGGTGCTGGATACTACGATCCTATACTAGCTACGTAAGTCTTTTGGCTTGTTTGACATACGGTCCGAAAGTTGAGTGTTGTCAAGAGACCAAGATTAACATTTTATGCACTCAGATAGTTAGCATAGTTGGTGCACGGGATAAAGTCATGTGTGAAGGGTTAGTGGTTGAGTTGAAAAAATCTCAACCGACGAAGAAACTTGGTAGTGGACAAGAGGATCTCTAGTACTGTTACAGGTATGAGGGCAGTTGTCACTTGGGAATCAGTGTCATCTTATTCACTCACAGTACATACTATGGTTTTATTTTTTTCGTGCACAATCCCTTGCTATCATTGATTCACGTCTTGATTTTCTATTTTTGTTTCAGAATACTTTAAACATAACTGAGTTCAATTAATATTAATTCGACAGAAAAATCTTATTATTCACCATTCACGTCTCCAAACTGATATTTTGTAAATATACATAAAGGTCTCTTTACTGTAAAATTTCATTTTGTTCTAATAAACATTGCAACTGGTAATACACCTGTCTTTTCGATGGGGCTATCCCAGTATTAACCCGGAATTTTGTCCGTTATGTCTCGATGTTGGGAGCATGAGTCTGTGTTTAAATATGTTATTAGTTTTAAAGATAATTTTAGTGCATGTGTATAAATTGGAACAACTGTTTGATTTATATTATGTTGAAATTAATCATATTTGTTTGATGTTAGGCATGGTCATCGTATAAGACGGAGATCGTCATTCCGTACAAGATTACAGGTATATCTTGCTGACGAGTGTCCGATTGCACAGAGCCTAGGTCCAGGGTACCCTATCGGCTACCTCCAACCGCCACATTGCATTTCAACATAGTGCACACGATGTCGAGTCACCTAGACTAGTGGGCACATTGCTACTTAGTCGATATAACTTGATCTTTACTAAGGATCTGACATACATGACGTTGGTCACTACCCAGTCAGTTGTAAATGCATCTCAGTTCTGCAGGAGGTCAGTCGCGGTTTGAACAGCTCAGTAGTAATGCCTCTGGCTCCCAACCACCACCTTACATTGATAGTTATAGCATTCCGAGTAACAGTGATGTTTACACCACTGACTTCCCATATGCCCTGGTACGGCCGAGGGTGGGGAGAGTCAGCTCCCTCTCGTAATGCTCTCACATGGCCACGCTTATACAGCCACTGACAGAGAAGTCCTACTCACTACCTTCTCGTGGCGGGGGTGCTTTTTCACGAAATTGAGAGGACGAAAAGTGAATATCCGGCGCTTTAAACGGGTTGGTGGATATGGAGGATCTACCTAAGGGAGTTGGAAATCTCTGATTCCAAACCGATGGTGCACATGGGCTGCAGTATCCTGAGATAACAAATGGTGTATGAACCAATTATTGGTCAGCGGCTACCATGGGACTGCATCTCCTGACGTTGCTCCACTGCCTTGTGGATCAGAACTTCAAGTTAAATGCTCCGGGTGTGGTCTTTCAAGATAACCACCTTCGGTCTGGCACACAGGCAGTATCACAGCCCACATACAAATCAAGTGGCTTACTTGTGTGGCGCATATGTATTCGGTGCTCTTTTGTACTAATATTTATATGTTCAAATAAATAAAACCACCGAGAAGTTAATCTGCAGCTGATAGACGCACAAGTTTCTGTTGTAGTAGATTAGTGGGTGAATATTTTCCATCCAAGATTATTAAACAAGAATACGGTTCACCGAAACTAACTGTCTACACTAAGCTCTATAGTCGTAATAGTTAGGGCGATATCTGCTGGTCATAAAGCAGGGGTTCCTTTTAGTTTTGATTTCAAATGTCTTACATACTGTTCAGCAATCAGCTCTTTTTTGTTTCGTAGATATAGAAAGTAGCTACCAAATCCAGACAACTGATTAACATTCATATCTAAGTATCAATCGCTTGGTTTTGTATTGAATATACTATCTGAAAGGTGAAAGTAATGTGACAATAGATTAGTACGTTTGAAATTAAATAAGATTTGGATTCATGACCTATCAGATTTTGGCATTTACTGTTGTCGAAAATATTCGATTACACTGAATTGATTTGCATGTAGAGTTCAGCAACAAACGTTTCTACTGCAAGATAATTATCTGTTTATTTAGCTATCAGAGAAGAAAATTAAAGTAATTCTACGTGCTGGAACCCATAAACCATGTGAACACGATCGGGTCATTGTCGACGTCTCCCTTGTTGTTGATGCCAAAGTGATTCTCCAGAACCAGAATATTACTTTTGATGTGGGGCATGCAGAGGATTTTGGAGTTATGAAGGTTGTGGATAATATAGTCCAAGACATGGGCTGTGGGGAACAGTGTGAAGTGACTCTTACATCTGACTACGCCTTCACAGATTTGGAGAAGACATTTTTGAAAATCGATGATGCATGTTTCCACAAAATATTGTTTAACATATATCTCCAAGATGTCAAAAAGGTAGGTCGATAAAATGATATTCACTCAAACATCCGTAGCTTGCAGAGTTTTGGCAAATGTCTGAAAGTGAAAAGTTTATTGTTGCTGATGTGATGAAATATCGCGGTAATAAACTTCTGAATGTAAGTACTTTTGAATTCGGTAAATTAACCTCGAAATCTAGTGGTTACTGTTCTTTTCGTTATATTCAGTCAATAAAAGGATTCGGGTGTTGCGATTGCAGAGTGATATTTGTTATCAATCATTAACCACCTACTATCTCAATAAACAAAAGTGGTTTCTCTTCAGTATATGTTGGACCCTATAGCTTCTACTCTGCTCTAAGTATTTTGTAGATCTGTGGTGTGCAGTCAATATCCCTTAGTCCGACTAATTTGATTTATAGTGTCTGTTAATAAATAAAAATAGGTTGTCTCTCTAAATCGTTTTCGAGTTGTGACTCATTCTAACAGTCAGCGTCTTTACAGACTGATTCCGTGCCTTAGTTTAGCCGCTCCTAGCTTGCTCCCAACCTGTTTCTAAACCAGCCATCATAGCTCGTCTAGGTAGTTGGTGGGTAGATATACGTAATACGTGTCCTAATCACCTCAGTCGATAAAGATTTACCATCTTGACAATTGATTTACCATCCTTAACTAGTGCTCTGCGTTTAACCTCACAAATAGTAACTCGTTGATCCAAAAAATATATACGAGCAGTGATTCGAGGACACTTATGGTCGAATACTAGTGACCTATGTATATCTTCTATGTTTAAAGATCACCTTTCACAGACATAAAGTGGTACGGAACTAACCGATGCACAGTATAGTCGTTTTTTTATTTTGCAAACGGATAAATCACTCACGTCACAAGTGATGTAAGTTGGAAAACACCAACTGGGCTTTCTAAATTCATGCAGAGCTTTCGTCAAACATTAACCTGTGAAGGGTGATGAGAACTCCGAGATAATTAAAGTGATAGACGTACTCAACTTCTTCCTGTTGTCAGTTCAGGTGCTGGTGCAGATCAGTCCTATGCACCATTTTATGTTTAGAAAGACTTAAAATCGAAGAGTACGTCTCGAAAGCGGATGAATTCGATAAACAGGAAGTATGAAATAATATTTAGTCTCGCCACAGTGATCAATCCTGAGGCATATCGCCCAACTCTTTCAATTGCTGTTCGAGGTCATCCCAAAGACCCAACCCAGTTCGTCTCCACTTGCCAATACGACTCAGCCTAATAACTTCATGGATTGGTACTGTGTCTTGGTTTGATCATCCCTAGTCGTCTTCTAAACATGACTACTTCTGCCAAATTTGTAGGATATCCCGATCGTTTTCTTATTTCAGTCATTTGGTTTGTACGGTGTGATTCGTCATCATTCAAGATGTGTTATGTTTGTAGAATATCAAATAGAGTTTTCCCTTCCGTATGATTCTGAAATTCCTGTTGTTTTATTCACGTACCCAGAAGAAATCTTATTTACCTTTATTGTTCAGATTTCTGATTCATTTTGCGAATTAAGTGATGTGGTTATATGTTCGTAGTAATAATCTATACCTAATCGCCGTTTAGTTGAATTTTTGAACCGTTAAGGATTTTTGGTTCTTAAAGTCTCATGTACACTGAGACATACATTCACACAGCCTTTGTACTTACTTTAAGAGCTTTCTACCTTGGATCTAACTACCTGTCTTGAGGTCTTGTGCTGTTTCGAAGGTTTTTGAGTTGATAACACAGTCATATTTGCAACAGACTCTTTACCTCAAGAAAAACAGTGAAAAATGGCTATACTTGTGATGAATATAATGTCACTTAACTTGTCAAAATAACGATTATTACCATTATTAAACCAGTAAGCCTACGTACTGACTTACCTACGCCGGTTACCAATCGTGGAGAAGCATAGGTCGTCACCAGCACCGTCCAACCAACCCTTTCCAGTTGTTCCCTGTTGCTATTTATACTTTTCATATCTGCCTCCATTTCCCGACGTAGTGTGTTCTTCGGCCTTCCTCTTTTCCGCTTCCCTTTAGGATTCCAAGTTAGGACTCGAGTAATTTCTTCAATGCATGTTCTATCCACTTCCAAAGTCTCTCGCTAATTTCCTCTTCAGTTGGAAGCTGGTTTGTTCCCTTTCACAGTAGGTTGTTGCTGATCGTATCCGGCCAATAGCTGTTGAGTATATTGCGTAGACAGCTATTTATAAATACTTGTACCTTCTTAATGATGGTTGTAGTAGTTCTGTAATTTTCAGCTCCGTACAGAAGGACTGTCATGATATTCGTATTGGAAATTCTGACTTTGATATTGGTTGACAGTTGTTTTGAGTTCCATATATTGCTCAGCTGTAGGAATGCTGTCCTTGCCTTACCAATCCTCGCCTTCACATCTGTATCTGGTTCTCCTTGTTGATGGATGTTGCTGTCCAGGTACGTAAAAGTTTCCACCTCTTCCAGAGTTTCTCCATCAAGTGTGATGGGATTGGTGTTCTCTGTGTTGTATTCGACGATCTTGGTCTTCCCCTTGCTTATGTTGAGGCCTACTGAAGCAGAGGCTGCTGCTACACTGGTTGTCTTGACCTGCATTTCTTTATGTGTGCGGGATGGAAGTGATAGATCATCTGCGAAGTCCAAATCTTCCAATTGATTCTAAGATTTCCATTGTATTCTGTGCTTTCCCTCAGATGTCGGGGTCTTCATAACCCAGTCGATAACCAGAAGAAAGAGAATTGGGGAGAGTAAGCAGCCTTGTCTGACTCCGGTCCTTACTTGGAATGCATCTGTCAGCTGTCCTCTATTCACGACTTTGCAATGTAGTCCGTAGTATGAATCCCTGATGATATTGACGATTTTCTCAAATACACCATAGTGTTGAAAAAGTTTCCATGAAGTCCTCTTATCCATACTGTAGAATGCTTTCTCATAGTCAACTGATTGCTCAACGATGATCCGTAGTGTCACAATTTGGTCTGTGCACGACCGATCCTTACGGAATTTGACCTATTGACCTTGGAATAGGGCGTCTAGTAAGTCTTTCGTCCCATCAGAATGGTGAGGTCCTTTCTTAGGCACTTCGCTATGATTGATTGCAGCCTCTCGTAAAACTGATCTTTATTGTCGTCGTTGCTATCATTGGTGGGTGCACAACATTGGATGACATTCATTGTGATGTCCGTCTTCTTTTCTTTGAAGGATGGTTTGGTGATTCTGGATCCGTGAGATTCCCATTTAGTAAGTGCGTTTCGTGCTTCTTTGAACAGCATCAGAGCATTTTCCTCTTCGTGACCGCAGTACAGTAGCATCACTCCCATATCTAGCCTTTGCTATCCAGCTTGGGCCCAATGGGTTTCGTTGATTCCGAATGCTGTCAATTTGTATCTCCTTATTTCCGTTATCATATGACTGGTCCTCCCGGTCTCCCACCTTTTCCGGACGTTCCATGTGCCTACAAAAATTGTTGCTCTGGTTTTCAGAAAAGGCATCGGCCTCGTGACTTCCGTCAAAACGTAGAACCTGTACATACGTGCATTGGTTCAAGTTGCCATACCCCATTTATTAAATGTTACCCATTGATTGTGGTTTCAAAACCAGGCTCTCTTAATTCGGACACTTGAATTAGAGTGAACTGTCATCTAGATCTGATTAATATTACACCTTCAGTAAGGCATAAAATTTCCTATTTTTAGGCCTTAGTTTTCCGGTCAACTTCAGTTTAAAGAAACAGAAATAGTATCTCATTGGAGTTTTAAACGGCTGATTCTGTTGCAAACTGACACAAAATTCTCCATAGATTTAAATTTTTGCTTATGAATAGATTTGCATTGCACTTAAGTTATGCTGGAAATATTTGATCACGTAAAGTTTAAGATTCATTGTGCAATCGTCAGAGTTTCATAACCACCTCTCATTGACTTCAAGATGTAAGAATAACACTGAAATTACAAGAAGGCTGTAACTGTTATCATAAGTGTTGTTGTTCCTGAGTAAAATGTCGGATATGTTTTCGTAGATTATCGAGCTGTAAGTTTAAAGACAACGTTTCAATACCAATTGATTTTCTACATTTCAGACTGGATTGTTGGTTCGTGCATTCAATTGCTACAAAAAAGCTATTAGAATCCTAGAGGGAAGCATCAGTGTGACTGACTGTAACTATACCGATCGAACGATGCCAGATTATCAGCTGTCGAAACCTAGCCCACGTCAGTTATTAGCTATTTGCCTGTCGAACGCAGCCCACTGCCTGTATAAATTTGGGACAACATGCACTGTCAATCCAAAGAAGTCTCAATTCGATTACCTTTCTGCATGTATCAAATGCTGTGAGCGAGCAGTCAGCCTTGAACCAAACTATATAAAGGCTTGGTTCCGTATAGCCAAAGTTAGTCTGTCGAATATGTGTATGCTTAATGCAGTATTGATTATAAAATGCATGTAAAATCATTATTGCAGGTGTCGCTTGCACATCTTTTATGTGCTATCGTTTGAAGGAATCAACACTTTTGGTTCTGCATATCCGGCTTTTGTTCTTTTTAGATCAATCATATTAGTCATTTGTATATAAGAAAATTCATCTGTCTTTTATGTTGAAAACCAAGTGGTTAGAATCCGGGATAAGGAGTATGATGGTTTGTCTCCTGAGAAATTCCATCACATATGCTACGATCAGTAAGCCGTCATCGGATTTCTAATCACAACGAAATTATAATTAACACAAAGTAGACAAGACATTTCTACGTGTGAAATCATTACTGATATAAATTTCAAATTACATTAGTAATATAATTGTTTCTGACTTAATCCTATTTCTTAATACTTGTTTGCTTTTAGGTTCATGCTTTATTAGGGAACTATGAAGAAGCGCTTACAACTGGACAAAAGTGTCTTACATGTTCTCTCGATAAAAACACATATGAATCTAAATGGATTAGCGTCGATGAACGCACAAAAGTGGATATCAGTAATAAGCTAAAGAAACTGCTATCAGAATGGCGCGCTTCGTTAGACAGTGAAGAAAAAATCGAAAGATCGATTATTCGGGACCGAACAATTAAAAAGTACTCATCTTATGGAGATTGGTGCGTAAGTGTCCCCACTTTATTTTCAGTAATTAAGAAAAGTTAGATTTTTAAGCTATGCAAAAAGTAATGAATTGAATTTTCCATATTCTATATTATTTGCTGTTATGGTGTACAGTAACTTTGGTGTTAAGTCCCACGTTATTTATAATTGGCGCACCAAAATTATATTAACATAGGTTTTAATTATGAATAATGTTTAGATGGTGGTTGGAGGTGTAGTCAACAGGAAACCCGGGTCCAGGGTTTCCTGTTGACTACCTCCAACCACCATCTAAATCTCAATGCCCGCAGTGTCGAGTCACCTAGACTGGTGGCCACATTGCAACATGATCGATAGCATTCGATCTGCACTAATAAGGACTAGACATATTATTATTTGAACACATAAATATTGGTACAAGAGAGCGCCAATATATATGCGCCACACAAAACAATGAAAATTCGAAGAGAGATAGAAAACAAAAAAAAACTAAGGAGCACAAAAGAAAAAGAGAACGATAACGAAGAGATTGGTGTAAGGTAGTGTGGTCGTAACGATGGAACGGAAAGGTACAATCAGAAGAAATCTTTCAAGTAAGGGAGACACAACTACTTTTTATGAAGAAAGTAAAAGAAGGTTACAGCAGGATCGCCACTGGCTTCTATTCTGAGCCATATCTGATAACGTCTCTAGCTACTGTGTAGCACCATCTCCCAGACCCCAACCAGGGAGTCGTGAAGGACCGACAGAAGCCAGTCCTTTGCAGCTTTCTTTCATACCACGACACCATGTCATGCACTGACCACCTCTTCGCTTCTTCCAACCAGTCCCAGAGTCGGCAAATAATGCACGACGTGGAATTCTCTGGGACGACATTCGTAGAACATGTCCAAGCCACCGAAGTCGGTGTTTCAAGATGGTGACATCGATTGCATTATCATCTCTGTGCCCAAACACACGATGCCGAACCTCTGCATTACTGACATGGTGTTGCCACTGAATGTCAGCAATCCTTCGGAGACAGCGATGGTCGAACACAGAAAGTCGTCTAACGTCCTCAACTCGGAGAAGCCAGGTTTCACAAGCATAGAACAAAACTGCTCTCACCGACGCGTTGTAGATCCGACCTTTTACAGCCAGACTAACATTACGAAGGCGCCAAAGATGGCCCAGATTGGCATAAGCTGCTCTTTCTTTCACTATACGTGGATTGATCTCATCACTCACGCCACCATCACCAGCACTTATGAAGCTACCTTGATACACGAACTTGTCAACTACTTCTAGCTGCTCACTATCCAGGGTGAGTACAGGATTAGAATCCTGCCAGTCTTGTAGAAGTACTTTGCACTTCGAAGGTGCAAAGCACATACCATACCTACGGACACTGATTGCCAAATGGTTAAGTGCGGATTGCATGCCTTGGGCATTATCGCACAGTAAGACAATATCGTCCGCATACTCAAGGTCGAGAAGTCTTTCTCCAGGCAACAGATCCACACCACCATTACTTACATCCATCAGAGCTGTTTCCGGAATGTCATCGATGGTAAAGTTGAAGAGGAATGGTGAGATTGGGCAACCCTGCCTAACCCCACTACTCGAATAGAACAATGGAGAGAGGTGGTTGTATGCCCTCACTCTGCCTGAGGTGTTTTTATATAGGGCTTTTAGGATGTTAATAAACTTCTCAGGCACACCCTTCTTCAATAGACAATCCCAGAGAACAGTCCTGTCCAACGAATCGAAGGCAGCCCTGATGTCAAGAAACACTACGATTGTTGGCCTTTGACAAGTATGGCGATGTTCTAACATTTGCGGAGGGTGAAGATATGATCAATACATCCTCGACCAGAACGAAACCCAACCTGCTCCTCGCGAGTCAATCTTTCTCGGGTTTTGAACAACCTACGAAGTATGACGGAAGCCAATAGCTTGGACTCAGTCGGAAGTAGACTTATCCCCCAATAGTCGTTACAGGAACGACGTGAACCCTTTTTATAGATAGGGACAACTATCGACTCATTTCATAACGTTTGTAAACTCTCTAGCTCCCGAACCTTTGTAAACAACGTCGTCATTTCCTTAGCCAGAAAGTCACCACCATCTTTAAAAAGAGCCGGAGGTAAGTCATCTGGGCCAGGTGATTTGTAACGCTTCAAGAGTTGGAGTTCCTTGCGAACTTCCTCCTCGTTTGGTGGATCAGTCGTCACCGGCCATGGAGGGCAGGACAGTCTGACCGATGTTGCCGGAGCAGCAGGCCAGTTGAACTGCCCTTCGAAAAATTCTGCCCATCGTCCAAGACGTCGATGGATGTTAGTGATTGGCATCCCATCATCCTCGCAGATTGTTTCACTCACACCAGTGGCTCGGATGAGCTGGAAGAGCTTCCGGTAGTTACCAGATGCAGCTGCTGCTGCCAGCTCATTAGCACGCTCCGACCACCAGGCTTCTCGGTCCTTACGCAAGCTTTGCCCAATTTCCTTACGTAACATCCTTCGTTTATGGTCAAACTCACGGTTACCCGGAGTAGACTGACGGGCTTCAATAAGTTGTAAGGAACCAGAAGAAACCCAGTGCTTAATAGCGGGACGTTTCGCAAACCCACAACTGACTGTTCCCGCCATTTTCATGGCGTCATGCAATTGCAACCAATGCTCATCTATACCCTTCGGTGGAGTGGTAGCTAGCCTAGAGGCTAGCTCGGTTCGATACTTATTTGCAACAGAAGTTGCAACCAGCTTGCTAATATCAATCCTTTGATGGCGGTCACTTCGTTGTCCACTGAAAAGTAAGGCAAGATTGGCGCAGACCAAGGCATGGTCAGAGTCCAGATAGGTACTCCAAAAGGAGCGGCAGTCTTTTACACAACCACGCCAGCGGAAGCTGATCGCGATGTGATCAATCTGAGTCCAGGCTTGGGATGCAGAGGGAGGACGCCAGGTGGCACATCGGCGATGACTGTGCCGAAAGTTAGTGCTAGCCAGAAACAGGTTGTGATCTGTGCAAAGTTGCAGTAGACGGTCCCCGTTATCTAACCTGCGACCAACGAGTCCCCATCGGCCACCTAAACGACTCTCTTCTGTGCCTAGACGCCCGACCTGAGCATTCAAGTCTCCGGCTAGTACTACAATATATGTCAAACGCACTTTCTGAAGAAGAACAGAAAACTGGTGGTAAAACTCATCCTTGATTGCATCCGGGCTGCAATCTGTCGGGGCATAGGCGGAGATGACGAAAAGACATCGTTTCTCACGCCGATTTCTTCTCACTTTGATGGAACTTTCTAATCTAACAGCACATAACCGACTGTTAATGGGGATCCAATCGACTAGTGCTGCCTCAGCTCTAGCGCTTAGTGCGACACCAACGCCAGCAAGACCAGACGAAGATGCCACAGGGTCCCCGGATAAGCGCACGTAAAACAAGCTTTTCGAAGCGACAGATGGAGATCGAATTTGTAGTACTTCGCCAGAGTCTTGAATACGGGTCTCGGATAGACAACAAACATCAATATTAAGACTTTCCAAAGACATAGCCAGCCCTATCTGTTGTCCGACCTGCACTAGTGAGCGAACGTTGAAGGCAGCCAGTTTGAATAAGGACTAGACAAGCAAGACATTGATCACCACCCAGTGATCAATCAGTTGTAATTATGAATACTGTTGTTTTGTGAGATAATGACATTAATATTCATTGTTTTTTTAAAAAGTATGATGAACTGGATGAAATAGAAAAATTGCCTATTTCAGTATGGTCGAATGATCTAGCAGAGAATATGATGTCTCTTCATGAGGAGCTTGAAGCGTTTGGAGAGAAAATGCCTGAATTTGAGGCTTGCCGAACAAGAGGTAAAGGTCGATTAACAACTATTCACGATGAAGACACCGATGAAGACAGTTTCCAAGAAAATGTGGCTTAAGCATCAAGTCAATTTGACGTACTTTTACTGGGAAAACAAATTTAATACTCACATGAACTATATAATGTACATCCATAAAGTATTAATTTTGTACAGAAATAAGTAAATAAAAATATTATTACACATTAAAAAGTTGTTTTCATAGTTTCTGGCTGAGAACACGTTTAAGTTGAAATGCTGGATAAAGATTTCCCATTTTCATATAAGGTATTAAAACATCTGGGACGATAATATGCTTATCCTAAAAATAAGACAAATGGAATAGTTTATTTCTCTAGTGTAAATGAAATTAGCGAATAAATTAACTCTTAGATTTGTTAATAAAAAAATATTGAGATCAATTTATCCTATTTAGCTAATTAGTTCAGTCCAATGTGAATTTTAATGAAAGATATTAATCCAGATCAGTCCTGAACCATATAATATATGATGGACAAGATTCAAATCCTAAATAAAGTTGATATAACTTATTTACGAAGTAGAGGTTTATGTATTTACCTCGGGTTCAGAATTTTTGTACGTAGGTTAATAATACTACTCAACTGCCAAAAATGAAATAGGTAGAATGAGTTATGCATATTGGGACTCACTGGTTAAAAAAATGATTGCACCAAAGCAAGTTGATCGTTTCTGTTTGATTTGGTCGAAAAAAAGTGTCTTATGAAATTTAACCCAACAATATTTATTGTTGTTGTTACATAAATTAATAATACACAAAAATTGTGCACAATATTACTAATGACTAAAAGTGTCGTTGTGCTTAGTTAACAATTAGTGAATCCACGTACTTGAGTCTGGCGGGTCTCTATTAGGGCTTTCACTATACGTGGGATTGCACAGGCAGTTCCATTTAACTGTAAATATAAAAAAAACAAATAAAAACATTGACAGTTAAAATCAAGGAAGACAAATTTTTGTATCAATGAATTAACCTACCACTGAAACGATGTGTAGACTGATGAAATCGCAAGTTAATTATTTAACTTCAAGCATAATACTTTTGGTGTTTACAGACGATTGTATTAAAAGAATTTAATACATCAAATGAGTTTTTGGCAGGATGCAAGTTTAAGGACTGTATGTTCATAACTTTCATCGTTGAAATATTCACTATGGCTTTCAAACATTGGGTTGCGGTGGCTCAGTGGCTAAGGTGTTTGACTTTCAACCATCAAGCTCCGGGTTCGAGCCCCGCCCTACCTACTTCGGTTTGGGCAACCGAGTTGCATTATTAAACTTTATACTTAGAGTGTGCCTCATATTAAAGTACCTATATCATTAGTTAACTTATATTTAGAAATTGAAATAAGGTCCCAAACAATAGCTTAAAACCGATTAAATAAACTTAAACTTTGTTATTACAACATGGTAAATAAATATGTATTTTGTTTTAATGATGTCTGAGTATTTAATACTACATAGATTTTCGAAATTGAACACAATTAGAACTATCTTTGAATAGTTTCACAAATATTTACTTCAATAAACAACATTAAGACCAACTGATCATTTGTAACTAGGTGCTTGAAATTCGACTCGATAACATCACAAAATTTGTGACAAAATCATAATTATTCTATAATGATTATCGTATTATAGTTTTTTTTTAAAGACTTTAAATTAAATTAATATATAATTCACTAACATACTTAGACAAATTCAAACGTTTATAGATAGAATATTATTAACTTTACATAATTAATTGAACATTATTCGTAATAAGTAAAATAAACTAAGCACATCATATATGTAATACAAATACTTACTGTATAAGCAAATTCATTTTGGTTACTAGATGTTTGCCATTGAATATTTAAACGTTTTGATTGATAATCGAGACAGATTGATGAACTAGAAATCTGTAAAAGATATAACAGATAAAGTCATGTGAATAAACATGCATAAACTGGCTTATAAGTGATAGACTAAAAATATGGTAGAGATGCGACAGTTTTTATTTATTAGACCACTCAGTAGTATGTACGATATACGTATCACGGATTTTACGATAAATACATATATCCTGAAAAAAAATTTACAGAACTCACATCAGCTTACAACGATTGTCAGCTAGATATATATAGCAATTTTAAACGTAAACGACAGGTACATGACAGCTTGTTTAAGGTGTTATAGTTAAAAAAACTGTGCAGGTAGTACTTTTTTCACAGGAATTACAGCGACGCAAAGCATCATTCAGAGGCAATTCACACTTCGCATTCTTGGGACTGATTGTACTTTAAACTATAAATCCAGATTCAATGAGCTTGAATTCGAATAGAGCAAGAACAAACATTGATGCAGAATAGTATGAATTCATATTATTTGGAGGTTTCTCGTCAGCTGCTTACAAACCAAAATTGTGATAGAATTTTTTACATGGAGATAGTGTGAAAACAATTGACATAAATGAGTGTAAATAACTGGATTACAATAATAACTATATATATATATATATATATATATATATATATATATATATATATATATATATATATATATGCTAGAAACAGGTCAGAGGTCAAAAGAGGGGGGTTAATCCAGGGTGGGTGGTGTAATAATTTAGTGAAGTTCATAAATTGTAATAATTGTAGAGATTAATGAAATTAAGTAATGATAAGGTAGATTACGTAATAATAATTAAATAGAATTTGGAAAGTTAAGATAATTTAAGAGGATCAGGTGGTGGAAATGTGTGAATAAAATTTATTTTAAAAATTAGGTAATAGGGGGGAGTATAAAATATCTTAGAATAAGTAAATGAAAAAAATAACCAAAACACAAAACAAACAGAAACAAAAAGATTACCAGGGTAGTGATAAGTTTATTAAAGTCTCTTTTTGAATGCATAAATCCGGTTTCAGTTTCTTAATTGCAATCGCTTCAGCAAAGCGGAGAGTGGTAATACTTTTTTGTCTATTGATAATTTTGAACGCGTGCAGAATATCGACGGTATGCCCGGTGTCAAGTAGATGCCGAGCTATTGCACTGTTAAAAGCTTTGGTCCCTCGCAGCGTCAAGTTCTTAGGGATATGCTCAGAAATGCGAACCTGCACTCTTGAATTCGATTATTCATTAAAGCGTTGACCTAAACTATCTTTTATCTCCAATGATGTAATTCAATATGCAGAAATGCACAGTTGTAGTATTCGTAACTCTATCATTCGTGAGGTGGTCACATTCTAAATCTGCCCTCTATATCAATTGGTTTGCCAATAAATTTCGAGGCTCTGGAACAATAATTTGCTGCAATCTCCCCATGAAATAAAATCACTCTCATTCTTTCTTCACTGCATTGATGCTTACTGCTCCTTTGCAAATGCCCGAAGTGTATTTACACCTTTAAATATATCCTATTCGACCAGTGAATTATAGGAACGTTAAATATTTAATCGTTATTATTACTGAGTCCATTCATTAAACTCTACCTGCAGATAACCTACATTTGCACCATCCCTGGTAAACTTAACTGATTTAGATATCTAACACGAACAGTAAATCGTAAAACAACATGGTACACACATCTCAATAGACCTTTCATATTAATTATTGTTGTTGTGCTTTCTGTTTGCGTTTTATTTTCTCAAGTTGTAGATGACTATAATCAATCTGTCGTGGCACCAGAAATGACTTCAGATGCACTGCTTATACATCAACATGTCCACTTAGAAAGAATCGACGGTTCCCGAATGATACCTCGCGTCGCCGTAATTCCTGTGAAAAAAGTACTACTTAAAGAATATATATATATATATATATATAAAGATAATAAAGCATGTGTAAAGCGAATCTGCAAAACAAAGATTCGAAGAGATTAATCAAATGCAACTAGCTGAATAGTCTTAGAAAACACGTAGGAGATAATGGTCTTCTTCCACAACTAATTATATAATAGAACTGATGTGGCTCCGTCCTAACGCGTTCAGCTGAGGAGTCAATCATATTTTTCAGGTGGGAAGGATGATATATGGGATCAATCAGAAGTCTGTCAGATGATAGATGCACGTGGCCAAGAAACGGGGATAAGATACACCAATGGTGGCTTAATTTTTGAGGGACGAACATGATTAATAAACTTCTTTTCTCTTAGTCTTTCACTTGAGTAGTCCATCGGGTTCGTGTATTGGAAGGTTACACATTCTTATCAATTCTTGGACACATGTCACACCAAGAAGAACATAAGTGATAGAAGAGAAAAAAACAATGTGCCTCTATCATGAACCTACTTTCAGATTCGTTATTTTATTTTGATCCTGAGACTACTGTTGAAATGCTTTATTCACTTTTTAATGATTTCATTGTTTTATATTTCCCATTGTCTCAAATTATTTATTTAATACTATTTTTCAATATGAAATACCTCAATTACTGAATATCGAATCCGATTGTTTGCAATGTATTGAGTAAATAAATCACATTTCAGGTTATTTCCGTTTACTTGATCGCACTATCCATTATCAATCGACTGAATTCACTCAAAACCGAGGATTTCTGTCACCTTTATAATATATGATTTACTGTTCACTGAATATTAGGCGTTTTAACAACATTGAAAAGTAATCTTTTCATGTTCTATAAATTTCATATAATTATTAACTCACCTCTCCGTATATTTGATCTCCTGGCATCCAGGCCTCAATATCAACTTTTCTGTAAGCTGAATCACCGAGCTCTTCCGATGGCATTTCAAGAACTCTGGATTCATAAAGAAATACATCAAAATTAATAAATATTTTAAAGATAAAAAGATAGTTGATGCTTATTTAAAATGTTTTGTGTGTATATGAGAAACTTATAATCCGACAAACCTACACAGAAATATTACCAGAATGATATTTTTTTAACGGAAGTGTTTAGATATGTATACAGAAATACTTTAACATTATTTTCAACAGCGATTTGTTAAGCAGTTGCAATTATTCCCTTGATATTGTTTTTACTTGAATCTTCCCATTGATGTTTTAGGACTGAAATTGATCAGTCTCTTATTGACATATGTG